TATATTTTTCGACAAGTTTAGCTACTCATCTGTGTGGAAAGATGGGAAAAAATGCAATGCAAAGCCAATTAAAGGATTTCCAAAACTTGAGTGTCACATTACAAAATGTGTGTGAGGATGTGTGTGTGTGTGTGAATGTGTGTTAATGCCTGCATTAGGGAATTGTGGCCTATGGGAGCAGGGAATTGGGTTTAGCAAAGATAAACCGCAAAAAAAAGCTGTAAACTCATGAAAAGAACTACGAACCAGAAAATCGAGGGTGAAAAAATAGAAACTCGATTAAAGTGCGGCAATTGATGCTCTATAAAAAGAACTTTTAAGATTTAAGTAAGAAAATCTCTTGAATCATTTCTTTGGCTTCCGCTTCAAGGTAAATATTGTTTATTTTTGTAAAGATTTGAGCTTCTACTTGAAAGTAAAGAGAGCATATTAAATATTTTAATGTCTGTGAATGTAAGATATGTTGAAAATAGTGGAATCAGGCTATTAGCTATTTACACACTTAAAAATTTTGCCAAACTAAAAGCTTTAAAGCTGCTGCAAAACCTTTTTAAGCTAGTCTTTAAAATATCGGAAAATTCAAGTAAGAACCTTTGTAGACCTAGCCAAAATATATATTTTAAATCATTGTAGAATTTATTCTAAGTAAACTTCCATGTAGAGATGTTTCATATATAAAATACATATTTTTTTTAATATTGTATTTTACATAATTTTAATTCAGAGCATTATATATTTCAAATAGTATTACAAGAGATAGAAATCCAATACGCATTTCTGTTATCATAATGAAATATGATAGCAAGATGATGATGATCAACTGTTTGAGCAGATAGCTTCGTGGCATAACAAGCGGGCGAATATTCTGGCCAAGAAGCCACTTAAGATGCGACTATATTCCATGTCCAAACCAGATGAACTCCATTCGAATGGCGCATAAAAACTGTGGCGCACTCTGTGGCTCGCTTCAGCTTGAAGCTGGCAGTAAGTCAGGAAAGTAAAGTGCAAGTTTTATAGCAGATGAAGGACAAGAGACAACAACAGCCAGAAGAACAACGAATCCGACTGACAACAACAACTTGCCACAACAATGTAGAATGATAGTAAAATGTTTGAAGTGGGGTTTGGGGTAATTCAAGCACCATTCCAGCCCACCCACAATGTTGACCATATGATTGACTGAGTGTCCGAGAGAAGTTGACTACTTGAATGCCCGACTAAATGACTGGCTCGCAGTGGCTTTGAATTTGAATTCATGTGTGTGTGTGTGTGTGTGTGCGAGTGTGTGTGTGTGTGTGTGTGCGAGTGTGGCAAGTGTAGGGACTTTTGTTGTTGCAACAAATGTTTAGCTGCTTCTCAAGTTGTCAATTGATTTGCTTCGGCAGCTTTCATTCTCATTTGTATTGCAGCTCAATGCTTAAGTGGGAAAATTCCATTTCGCATTTTCCAACTTTCCGCATTGCTATGTGTGTGCGTCTGCATGTGTGTGTGTGTGCACATTTTGCCGTGTTTTCACACAGTTTACCATTCTATTTATTTTTTTTTTGATTGATGGGCGGGTGTGCGGTGGGCGTGCCAATATACCCTAACGATGCGTGAAGGCTGTTGTTAGCCTTTAATTGGCCTGTTTGCATTGCCGTCGTCTGTGCTTTGTTTACAGCCACGCGCTGGGCGTGAGCCTGGCTATTTTTTCTTTTTATCTGCCGCCCCCTTGTTTGTTCGACTTCTAAAAACAACAGCAATCACAATAACAATACCCATAATAACAACAACAGGAACTAAGTAACTAACTGACACTTGGACATGTGACATGCTGGCTATAAGCTTTTCAGAAACTCCCCAATATAGATGCTAGTAAAAGGAAAAATAGTTGTCAATTAAAGCAAAAGCTTTGGCAGCACATTTTCTGGCCATTTGGGTCCATCCATTCAATGAATAATGTGGACCTGACATCAAAGTTCAAGATTTTTCACTTGATGATAGATAGTTTCAGCTTTTGAAGGACATGTCCCCTAATGAAATGTTTTGGCTTCGATATTAATCAGTTGATGTGCAAGTTTGCAAACTTTTACGTAATTAAAATTTGTTTTTGACGCAGCGTGAAGTACGTAGTTTGTTTACCAAACGACCTCGAGAAGTAGGCAAGAATTTTTTTTAATACATTTTAAATTTGTGTTCCAATTATAACTTTGACACTCTTTAGCTTTTTAATTATGGCCATATTTTGGACATATAAATATTTGGCTTTTAATATTATTTGTTTCTTGACTTCAGTTTTTGTTGTTTAACTTCCGATTAAGTTTTTCTTAATTGTTCTCTTCTCAGTTTCTAGACAACAATAGCAAAGTGTTTTACTACTTTTGTAGAGAGTATTATAATATGTGCAACGCATAGAAGGAGACACCTACGACCCCGTAAAGTATATATATTCTAGAACAGTTGCAGGCAGTACATATGTTGGAAGTGGCCGGATCGTACCACTATATCATATAGATGCCGTAGGAGCGATCGGTCGAAGAGTAGTTTCTGGTATGGAAAACTTTGGGCAAAATCTCTTCGACGTCGGATCATTATATCATATAACTGTAAAGGTACTACATAGGATCGAAAAGTAGATTCTTGTATGGCAAATTATTCTGTTTTCCAAGATATTTTCATCAAAATCAGCATTATCTAGCTTCACATATTTACAAAAGGGAAATGTCTACAAGGGTATTAAATTATCGGCGAGCCGAAAATATTGTTACTTTCTCGTTATTTAATATTTATATAAATCGACAATAAAATAGTTCAGTCTACTATTTGAATCAATTATTTTCTCTAACTCTCTTTTGGTTCTCTCCTCTCTTTCTCTACCCCCTTTAATTGAATAAATTGTAGAATAAATTGTTAAAGCAAATATTTGGAGCAAAATTACATATAAATATTACGGCTTTGATGATCTATATCCATTAAAGTTTTAAGTTAACTCTACCTCTCCTTTTCTGCCTCTCTCTCAATCGAGTTGTCTTATGATTCGATTCCATAGCTCTGAACTACTACTCTTTATAGCTTTTATCTTATGCAATAAATATTTTTCTGCCTGTTGAATTATTTGCTTAAATATCGTTGGACTCATTTATGCAGCAATATCTTAAGCCTTTTCTTTCATTTGCGACTTTTGGTGCCACATCTGAATCTGAAGCTATTTCTTTTGTTTATTTTTAAGCTTCTTTTATTTTAAGCTCGGTAATTATTCAGTTTCCCCGTCCCTGCTCTTCTTTTCTTCAGACACTTATTATGTTAAGCCCTTAAATGTGGCCACTTCAACAGCTTCGCGCCGTTTTTACCGGCTTTTCCGGCAAACGCATTGGATGCCCGGCTTGAGCTTCGGTTACAGCATTTGGTTTTTCCTCATCGAATGGCCACTTTTGTGGTGCGTTGCATTATCACGTAGCATTTTTTATGTGCTATTAAGTGCAATATAAGCTTATGGCGCCTTAAAGTGTGCTATAAACTCCCACACACACACACACGTACACACGTGCAGACGCACACACGCACACACATGAAATGCGGCCACTTTGGGGTGCGTTCGCCCCATAAACAGACTAAGGGTCCACACAACAAAGCAGTTTTTAATACAGAAATATAACCAAAAAGTGGCCGACACGAAGTGCCTGTGCTTAAAACAACGTGTCCTTGTTGCTAACGATTCCGGAATTCTGTATCCTGACAAAAGCAACTGCAGCAGATGTATTCAAATTCAAGGGAAATACCCTGGAAGCTACATAGCGTTAAGATATTGAAGAGGGTAAATAATATAAAAATAAAATAAATATTATATCAACTGATATTTAGTTGCAGCTACGGGGTATCCCTTAGTCTGGCAGCTTTTAGGCATATTTGTGCGAGTAATATTATTAAAATTTAAGACAGTTGAATGATTTTATATTCTTCACTTCAAGCATAAAATATATCGAACAATATAAGATAATTTCGCTAGAAACATTTTGTTATACTCAATATATTTTTATGACTTGGAAAATACTTCATTATAGCTACAGGGTATGCCATAGTTCATCAATTATTGACATGTTTACTAACTTCTTTTATTTAAGCAAACTTGCATACTAAATTTCAATTTGATGCAACAACAATAAAGAAATTTACATTTTACTGCAGGCGCCAGCGGCAACCCGCCCCGCCCCTTTAAAATCCCCCAACCCACAACCCACACTCCACAGCAAGCTCTGCTCTTTTCCAGGGGAGTGGGACGTATTTTTGCTAGATTTGGCAAATATTTTCATCGTTACACGCAGCGAGCATTTCCCATTTGACATGGCCATTGTTGGTAAATTGTTCTAACCGAGAGCGGAAACAGAAGCTTTCGCTTCTGGCCATTGTTTTGGAGACTGTCGACGAGCAAATCTGTTTGCAAATTTTGTAGGCCTTGACTCTGACTCTGGCTGGGGCTCTGAATCTGTGGCTTTGTCTGTGGCCCTTTTGAAGCCGGCGAAATTTTTGATTTGTTGCCATTTGCCGTAGTTTATTTGCTTTTCATTTGATGGCCAGACATGGGGCTTAGATTTGCATCGTTTGATTTCAATTTGCATAATAAATTAAATTCCACACGACTATTTTAACTTATTGTTGGTCAGCATATTTTGTTGACCAACAATTGAATATATTTAAACGTTTATATGTGTGCGTACACATCTATATAATCACAAACGCACACACAGTTTCAATTAGCATTCCACAGAGTGTCAAAGCATGGCAGCACAATAAATATGAATATTAATTAATTAATTTTGAATTTGCAATTAATTATATATTAATATACCGAAGAGTGTAGATCACACTAAGTACCTTAAAGGTAGACAATGAAAACGAAGTCAAACAAAAATGTGTCATGCAAATTTTACATTAAATTATCATTTACAGACTGCCAACAGATATTCGAAATCAAAAACTGCGTGATGCTATGTTCCATAAAAGAAAAATAAAAAATCCAAGGAAAAAAATCAACTTGAAAAGCAAAATGAATTATTCTACTGAATATCTAAGATACCTTGGCTGTAGACGCTAAAGGCGATCTCAAGTCCAGGTATCAATTACTTTAATAATAATATGTATAATAAATAATAGATTCTTATTAACATAGGTATTCATTTTTATAAAGGTACTTACCCAAAAATGCTCGATTATTTTATTGCCATTTATTACTAGGAGAGCGACAAGACGGACTCGCATCACTAAAAAAAAAACGGAGAGCGATGTTAAAACAAGAGCAACAGAAAGGCAAAGGATTTAAAGTAGAGCATGAGAGAGAATGCCTGAGAGAGTAAATAAGGGAAAGAAAGAGAGCGCAAGAGAGAAAATAAGGGAGAAAGACAGAGAGAAAGACTTGGCAGAGGTAATGCTCATAATGTTAATAATGCTAATAATAACACTTATTATCTAAGTATAAAAACCTGAGAGTCTTACTTCAATTCATGAGAATCGCATAGTAAGGCGATGTGTGAAAAAATGTTTCTCTATTTGCAGCGTTGCGGGGAGAGTAAACAAAAAAGTGAAGTTTACTTGGTATGCATTCTGTTTCAAAGAACTTACAAGGCGGATATTACCCGGCCTTGTACGGCGAGAGAGAGGCAAAGAGATAGAGATAGAGCATTTGGCAGCGTATTTTTTCACATTGGAAATTTGTTTATGGGCAAGGGCAAGACCGAAAGAAAAAAATAAATTAACTTGGAAATAGTTTTTCAATTCCTCCTTAATTCCAGCAAATGTCATATATATAAGAAAGTATGCTAAGAAAATTGTTCAAACGGAGTTTAAGATATAATGCTCACCATTATTCTTAGATACTTTATCAAATCGATTTCGTAAAATTAAACAATATTTTAACTCAAACTATTTTCATGTTCATAAAGAAGCCAACTTTTAAACTTTTCTTTTCTTGGCTAACTTCAAAAGTTTTCTTTAGAAACTCTGTTTTTAAGTTTATTATGTTTAACAGCAGAGCTGATACTTACATTATATTTAGCAGTTAATAGGCTAGAACATATGTGGCTAGCTATATACAAACACCTTTCAATTCATTGGCAAGTTTATGGGACAATCTGGAGCGAAAGTTGGTGGATGGAAATATGTATGCAGTTAGAGAATTAAGTAGGAAATATGTGAGTGTGCGTGTGTGTCCTGCAAGGAATCAAATAAACTGAGTTAAATAACGATAGCTGAAAAACAAAGAACGATAGAGGGAGGGACAGGAGCTGGAAGTGCGAGAGCATGTGGAGTTTTGGCGTGTGTGCGCGTTTTCTTTGCCTAATATATATATGGCTTGGCATTAGTCGGGGCGCGCGCAACTGAACTTGAGAAGTCAAAAACTCCAAAAGAGGACTTACGACTTAAGCACAGCGAACAACAGGAGCAGCCGCTAGCCCAGGAGCCACAGTCGGAGCCGGAGTCAGAGTCGGAGCCGGAGCAGAGGCCACGGCCAGGACGATGCCAAGTTGCTTGCGAGCGCAAACTTTGCTGCTGCTCCCTGTTGCTGCCGTGTGGCTGTTGCCAGCGCCCTGTTCCCTGTTGCTGGTCTTATTGTAGCTTTGATAAACTTTAACTAGCGTCAACACACGCACACACCCAATCACACACACACACACTCGCACATGCAGCTGGCTAAGCGTAACGGCATGTGGAAAAGTTGCTCGTCGCTCGGCTTGTTGCCAGTTTGTTTGTCTATTTACTTGGCAGCCGTTAGGTTTCACTTCCGTTTCATTTCATTTCTATACGTTTCGTTTTATTACTTTGGTCAGTTTTTCATTCAGTTTTCACTTTTCTTTTGCGCCGTTTCAACTGCATAAAGTTGCCTTCTCAGCTGCCGCACTCAATCGCCAGCTCCTCCCCCAGCTCCTGCTCCTCCCCCAGCTCCTGCTCCTCCCCCAGCTCCTGCTCCTCCCCCAGCTCCTGCTCCTGCTCCTGCTGCTGCACTACACTTAATTGAATGTTTAACCTTTAGCTGCAACTCGTGCCACACACACACACGCCCCCATTCCGCCCCTTTTGTTGGCATCGCTTAAAAAAGAACCAAGTCATTGAGACATGGCGTCGACATCGCTTTTTTTCTTCTTTTTTTTTGGCTTCTTCTAATTGCCGTTGACTTGTTCTCTGGGCCTCATTACTTAGGCACGCGCGCGCCTCTCTCAACCAACGCGATTGCCAAAGACGCCAGCGCATAAGGTCATCCGTGAGTGCCACGAATATGAGTATGAGTATGAGTGGGAGTACGAATATGAATATGAGCATGAGTACATGAGCATCAGTCGCGGGCATATGTCTCGTTTTGTTTTCTTTGGCAGTCATTGCTGGGGCGTCATCATTAACCGTCAACAATTTTGCATTCGGCTTTGGCCGTAATTTGACTGTAACCGGCAACGAGTTGTGTCAGCTTCTGAGCGAGGGGCGTGGCAACGTCCACAAATGTCGCTTTGCGCGTGGCCGCGACTAGCATATGTTGCACAGCTCTGCAGCTCTGTGCACATTTGTGAATGTGTATCAAAATAATTTAAAGAAATTTGGGTTTCTTATCGAATTTTTAATAAGGTCATGCTGCCAGTGAAACGTTTAGGAAGGCAGCATGAAAGGCAAAATGTACTGTTTATTAAGATCATAAGAAACTACTGCTACATACAATCTGCCCAGTGAAACGTTTACAAATGCTAAGACTAAAGGAATAGAAAATTAAAAGCAAGAAATTCTCTTGCCATATATTATCTGCCCAGGGAAACTTTTATGAACGGCAATAAGGGGTTGAATGTGCTCTAAAGTGATCCTATTCAAGAACATCTCTTGCTATATATTATCAGTCCAGTAAAACGATTACGATAAAAAAAAGGGAATAGACGATTAAATGCGATCTTAAGAAATTAAAATTATGAAAATCTATCGCTATACATTATCTGCACAGTGAAATCTTTACGAAAACCAAGCAACAAATACTCAAGGAGTCTAAGAGTAAAAGCAGAAGAATATCTTAACAGAGTTATGTATAGCGCTGCCAGTGAAATGTTTACGAATTCAGAGCAATGTAGAATTTGTAAATTAAATGCCTAATGTTTGCATATATGATTGTAGATAGACATTAAATATTACAAGGATAGCTTACTGGCTCCCAAAAGGAAACCCAATACCATTTGCATGAATTCAAGGACGAAATCTTTTTATAGCAAGTTAGTCTTTCGCTTATCAAGGCGCCCGAGCCTCAGGTCAATTGTGCTTGAAAATACATTTCTCAAATGACACAAACACAGCCATCAGCTAACAGCGATCCGAGCCCATTTCCATTTAAAGCTCGGCCAATGCCACAGTCCAAAGTTAGCTTCATCAATGAACAATTTTCTGTATTTTGGGCACGACGGCCACGCCTCGAGCTAAGTATTTTATTGTGGAAAATATTTCTACAAATGCTTTTGACGTTGTCTGCACCTTGTTTGTTGTTGTTGTTATTGTACTTTGTGTAATTGAACACCTTCGTGTTGTGCGCCAACTAAAATTGACAAATTCAACTGAGATGTTCAGCCAGTGGGCGTTTATTTAACTAGGGAGTGGAAAATTGAGCTCAATTGCCAGTGCAGTGCAGAGACAGAGAAGGGGAGAGACAGGGATAGAGAGAGCACTAATTATACAATTGCTGGGTAGACCCAACTGCTCCACCCAGTCTTCGTGTGAATTAATTAATGCAACAGCCTTGGAAATTTTGCATACTAAAGAGCTCGCAACAAGGTGCGTTCATTAAGTACGTAGGAAGCAGCAGCCACCGTCTTGACGCTCTTAGCATATTTTGGCCAGGCAAGCTGTAAAGCCGGCAAAGTGTTGGAGCCTCTAATAATGTGCCAGAGCTTTGTGATTTGTCATATCAGGTACTCAAATACCCCAGGGGAGGAGCTCCCTCTGCTGCTGGGCGGCAACTTTGAATGCTGCTCACTAATTGCCCTGAACTTTGACATGGCATAACTTTCAGCTAAACTTGAATGCAACACAAACTGTTAAGCAACAAATACGAAAACAAACGCACGAATATAAAATACTAAATGTCAAGAGTAATTACGCAAAAAATATTGTTGTTACAAGAATATTTTTTTTTTATGACTTTAATCCATCAGAAAGTGAAGTTTTTTTGTCTGTTTTGTCCGCCGATTTATTTGAATTTTATTCATCCAGCATTTTTGTGATATTTAACAATTTCAGAAAACATTCAATTGAAATGAAGCTGCCAATTTGCAATTTGTCATGCAACAATAAATAAAATATTATATTTATGTATATAAATTTTAAACAATTAATTAAAAGGGTATATGAAAAAATTCAACAAAAAATAATAAAATAAATCATATTTATATATTTTAAAGAATTATTCAAAAGTGTTTATAACAAAATATGATAGAAGGGCAACATTTGGACCGAAGTACAAATCAAATCTTTAAAAATTGTATAAATATTTTATTTAGTTGAAAATTTGTATTAATATATTGCCACAGAAAAAAAAACACGGTCCTTTCTTGGCCCTTCTGAGCTTTAAGTGTATTTACCTAATGCTATTAAGCTTTAAGCTTTTAAGTTTAATGATTTCCATCTTATAGCTAGATATTCACAAATTCTTGTTATTTCTGAATATATTAAAAAGTTATATAAGAGCTACATCGCTTGCCGGACAGTTTATTTTCTCTCTGCTTGTTTTTCATATTTAGGTAAACAGCTCGAATGCTTTTGGCGTCATACACAGAGCTGGCTATTACGTCTCCTACCAGACCAACAACAACAACAGCTCCTCTGTCTACACTTGTTGCCTCACTTGCCCAACCGCGTGGCGCTCTCCACTTGTGGGGCAACGACACCAGCTCAGAGGACTATGGCTAGAGGGGCATGCGTTGGCGGGAGTTTTGGCCAAATGTTGCCGGCCGCTTAAACGTGCGATTATGTTGTTCACGTGAGGCTCCACCTCGCCCCCCTCGCAGCCGTGGCCACAGTTTCAGTTTCAGTTTCAGTTTGTTTTTATTTGGTTTGTTTTTTTGGTCAGCACCACCCAACAATTTTCCCATATTAAATCAGAAAAAACAGACGTTATGCAGACTTTTAGGCTCTATTGTTGTTGTCGGGCCTGTCTAGCACATGTTGGAAAAGGCAAAGAAACACTCACAGCAAAATTTAAAGTAGTTTTTGCCGGCCAAGATCTTGTGTTGGATATTTTTCTTGGTGTTTTTTTTTTTTTTTTCGGATAAGTTGCAGGTTATTTCTTTCTGGCTTGCTGCAAATTGCGCTGATGTTGCAAGCCATGTGGATAATTTTTTTTACGGCTCTTTTATGACTGCCAGCTGTGTGATAAGTTGTTATTGTTGTTGCAATACAAACAACAACAACAGCCACAGCCACAATGCGTACAGGCTTTGGTGTCTGTGGGGCGTCTGCAAAATTTTCATTTATTTATGTCGCAATTTCGGTTAAGTTATGGATTTCGAAACACTCAGAAATTATCGCCAGCCAGAGTCTATGAATTTTGTAATCTTAATACCTTGATTATTTCTCAGTTTTGTGACTTTGCAGAAATTGACTATAAAAGCAAGGTATTGTCATATATTTACGCCCATTAAGCAAATCAATCTAGGGCATTAAAACGAAATGGTATCAAGCAGGCGTTTTGACTCGGTTTTAACAAATTTATGTGAGTTTTTAATCTGGATAGGGTATTCATCAGGGTCTGAAGAACTCAATATGAAAAGAAAATGCTCGTCTTTGACATTGAGGGA